AGGACGCAGGTGATCGACATAGTCCAAAGAGTTCTTAAAGTGAATTGGCTGCGATCAGGTAAATGTGACAAATGACGGATTTATGAAAAGTGACCTGACAATCTAAGAAAGGTATACGATGAATGTGGACTTAGGGTTCTCTTTGTGGTGAACTTCAGGGGACGCTAACATTAAGCAGTTGAGAATCTATATATTAATACGTGAAGCAAAAACTTAGTATCCCTTTTTACGAAAATTGCGCGGATGGAGAAGTATGAAATTTTCCACACTTATAGAGAATATAGAGAAGAAGTGCACAATGCTAATATTTTTTAAAAAGAATGCATAAAAGATACATTAAATCAATAAAGAAAACACTACACACACTACATACCATGTATTTGACGCACACACGCATGCATACTATTTATTGCCAAACTTTTGTTCTTGACGTCAGTTGTCAAATTCAGAATAGATAAAAAAATTTTTGTCTTTGTTAATATTTTTTATAGTGTAGTCTTGGCCAATGATCGGAGGCGCTGGCGGGACATCACAAGGAGTAAAATCATGTCGAATTATAATGGTCACGACCCTCAGCAGTGAGGAAACGACGCTAGGAGGAGGAGTCTTGGCGAAATTTGTGATTATAGAAGTATAAAATACAATCATAATAGTGTACAAACTTACAATTCCAATTAATTATAGTCGAATTTCGACTACTGCGGGACCTCTAGTTTCCATTATTGATTGGTTTTGTCCGCGAATTCGTCCGCATGGAATAATTACTTTGAGATAACGTAAAATTTTACCCGCGATTTCATGTACGCAGAAGGTGAAAATATTTTTGATAGAATGTTAAGGAGCTATTTAAGGCACCAAAATCACGCTTTTTAATCAAACACGACTTCAAAAGCGGAGGTTATCAATTCGACCGTCATTTTTTATCTATGTACATATGTTCACCAATTTCTCGAGAATGCTTGAGCCGATTCTGATAATTCTTTTTGCTTTTTGTACTTTGTTCAAAAGGGTAGACTTACCGAATGGTCCTGTAATTATCAGGATCAGAATCTGATGATGAGATCCTTGACAAATCGAGAAAAATCTACAGGGTTCAACAAAAAAATGGGCTATCGAACACTGAAATAATTTTACAAATAGGACCAGTAGTTTCTGAGATTAGCACGTTCAGCCAAACAAACTCTTTAGCTTTATAACATTAAGTATAGTTTTATAGGTAATTGATGTTTAGAACTTTTTTCATTGTACAAGTTCGTGGTTCTTCTGGTGTCGTATGATGACCAGATTACCAGAACCTGTATACGTTATAACTTGAATGTCGCCACCCACCTCGAGAAATGAGATCCAAGTCTCAATGGTATAGTATAAGAGCTACCTCTTTTCCAACCAATAAACCATGTAATTACAAAAATACTTTAACTATGTTTTTAGCTCTTAAAATTGATTAAAATCTTGGCCACAAAGCCCGGTCTTGGAATAAAGCATCAATTTACGATTAAATTTGATAAAAACGAATATGTCCCATCGATCACCCGCGGCCTGAAGGATTGCCTGGGGATTACGTTGGAGTAATGAGCTGTAGCCCTAAATATGGATCTCTTGCGGGAGGAAAATATAAAAAATAACGCCTATCAGAAATACCAAAAGAATTGGGTTATATAGAACTTATTTTTAATGATGCTTATAAGGTAAGGTCGTAAGGTGATAAGGGCTTCAGGTCTATTAGCGGAATAAGTATGTTCAATTTCACACACAAAAGTTTATTGTACAAGTACTTATACAAAAGTTCAGAAAGTGAGAAATCAAATCACATCAAAACAAAAAAAAAATTTTTTAAATAATTTTTTTTTTATTCGTCATAAATGAAAGTTCAAGATACTTGTTTTGTTCAACATACTTGTTGAACGTCAAAAAGAACTACCGCCAATTCACAAAAACTAGCCTTCGTCCCGAGAAGAACTGGCAAGAAACTCAGCGGGCATGTCCTTTTTTTTTAAATATTAGATTTTTTTTTTAGGTATTACATTTTTTTTAAATATTCATTTTTACAATCAGTATTATAACGTAACAATTATTGCACTATTGAAATGCCAGGAGCGAGCAACTCATTCCCACTTTGTGCAATCTTCTAGCTAGAGCACAGGTATATAGTTCAAACCATAATGTAAAGGAAAGTCTAGGCACAGAAGAATCTATAACTTCGATACTGGGTTTTAGAAGACCGCTTCCGAAAACGAAGACAGACGATAGTACTAATGACATCTTTGATGATGGAGTTATTTAGACAAATGTTTTTTTTTTTTTTTTTATTGCCTTTGTAGGCAGACGAGCCATACGGACGAGACGATACGGCCCACCTGATGGTGAGTGGTTACCGTCGCCCATGGACTTCAGCAATGCCAAGGGCAGAGCCAAGCCGCTGCCTACCGCAAATAAGTATGTTGTAAATAAGTTGTAAATGTTAAGTTGTAAATGTTATAGTTGTAATATGTTGTTAATAAGTATTGGTGAGTCTGCGCCGCGCCGCGCCCGGTTGTTCGTTGATAAATCGATTTAGCTACGATTTATTTTTAGAAAATGTTGTTTTATTCGTGTTTTCAATAATCAACTTTATGACCCTTCCCGACCTCTTTTGGCGAATTTTTATTTTTATTTTTTATTTATTTTTTATTGCTTAGCTAGGTGGACGAGCTCACAGCCCACCTGGTGTTAAGTGGTTACCGGAGCCCATAGACATCCACAACGCAAATGCGCCACCCACCCTGAGACATAAGTTCTAAGGTCTCAGTATAGTTACGACGGCCCCACCCTTCAAGCCGAAACGCATTACTGCTTCACGGCAGAAATAGGCAGGGCGGTGGTACCCACCCGCGCGGACTCACAAGAGGTCCTACCACCAGTAAATAATAATACTATTATACTATTAATAATACTATTTTTCATAATTGAGAGCAACTAACTGCTTTAAAGACACGTCAAGGTCATTGTCTAGTTAGTATTATTCATAAAAAAAAGTAAATAAAATAACACGATAAAGTAAACGTCGATCAAGGATCCTCTAAAGGGAAATATTATCTTATTAGGAGTGCTTCAGAATTTTCCTTGTTTTTTGAATTTTTAATGGATTCTGCGAAAACAAACTGAAGCTATGTCTCTTCGGGGTTGTCTCGACGGACGACGGAAACTTCAAATTGCATTATAATGTAATAGTATGTAATTGAAAAGAATTTAAAGGTCATCATTTTTGTTTAACAATGCATTTTGAAGTCATCGTGGCCTAAAAGATAAGACGCCCGGTGCATTCGTATCTAGCGATGCATCAGTGTTCAAATCCCGCAGGCGGGTATCAATTTTTCTGATGAAATACGTACTTAACAGAATATGACGATTGACTTCCACGGTGAAGGAATAGCATCGTGTAATTAAAATCAAACCCGCAAAATTAAAATTTGCGTAATTACTGGCTGCCTCAACATTCAAATCGAAACGCATTACTGCTTCACGGCAGAAATAGGCCGGGTGGTGGGACATATTCGTGTGGACTCACAATAGGCCTACTACCAGTAAAAAAAAACCAAATTCTATAATCCTAAATCTTATACCTTTAAACGAGCAATTCTTGTATATATATAATCTGAATCTCGGAAACAGCTCCAACGATTTTCATAAAATTTAGTATACAGGGGATTTCGGGGGCGATAAATCGATCTAGCTACGATTTGTTTTCAGAAAATGTTGTTTTATTCGTGTTTTCAATAATCAACTCTTCCCGACATCTATTGGCGAATAATAATACTATTTTTATTAATTGAGGGCAACTAACCGCTTTAAAGACACAACAAGATGGCATTATCATAAAAAAAACCCGATTCATCATCTAGTATGAATAAAGGCAAATCAAGTACAAAGAGTTATAAGCTTAATAAGGCAAATAAAAATAACCCTTCAGATATTAAAAAGATTGGGGATGAAACGAACTGTTAGTCGAACGCTTCCAGCCAAATCATAACTGCATTAAGTTCGAGAGAGCTTTCGTTTTAGCTTTCGTTTTTAATTGATTGATGTTTTTGATCTCGGATCTATTAGACTGAGTGCTCGAAGCTCGCAATTATGTTGATTGAAAGTGATCCGTTTTTTTTATATATATCAAATTGTTAGTAAGTGCTTTTTAATGGAAGCTTGCCAAAGTGAGCTTGAATTATAATGTGGTGTTTTTTGTTGTCATCGATAGCCTAAAATTGGGTAGTTAGTGAAGCCACCCTCCAAACTGACTGTTTCACGGCAGAAATAGGCAGGGTTGTGGTACCAACCCGAGCGGGCTCACAAGTCGTCCTACGACCGGTGATTACGCAAATTAAAATTTACGCGAGTTTCACTTTTGTTACACGAAGCTATTCATTCATCGTAGAAGTCGTCGTACCATTTTAGAACCTTCGTGGCCTAACGGATAAGACGTCCGGTGCGTACGTGATGAGCGATGCACCGGTGTTCGAATCTCAGGCGGCTACCAATTTTTCTAATGAAATACGTACTTAACAAATGTTCACGATTGACCTCCACGGCGAAGGAATAACATCGTGTAATAAAAATAAAACCCGCAAAATTCGCGCTCACAGCCCATCTGGTGTTAAGCGGTTACTGGAGCCCATAGACATCTACAACGTAAATGCACCATCCACCTTGAGATATAAGTTCTAAGGTCTAAGTATAGTTACAACGGCTGCCGGCAACCACCTTGAGATAAAATCTAAATGAATTACTGCTTCACGGCTGAAATAGGCAGGGCGGTGGTACCTACCCGTGCGGACTCACAAGAGGTGCTACCACCAGTGTATCAAATATTTCATATATTATATATATTATATCGGTGTCAAATATCTAAAGCAGTAAAATAAGAAAATAGCATCGTTAAACATCAGGCTTTATATTCCTTTACACTATTACTCGTAATGCAAAATTTACAGCAAAACGGTATCCATATAATTATTTCTATGTTACAGGTACAACGCGTCACGGCAATTGAGAAAATTACCGGTTTAACACACGCGATCTCATAATAAGATGTTAATGAAACAACATTGAATGGAACAGTTGTTTTTGTAACGATAGAGCGAAGGCACGGAATAAAGATGTGATTTCAAAAAAAAAAACCAGTGAAATGAAAAATACCGCCGAAAAATACCGGTTTAGCGAGAGGCGGAAGTGCGCACGATGACGTCACAAATCCGGTTAAATGACTGTATAAAGTAAATCTTGTGTTTAATTGTGTTTAGCTTCTTTGTGTGTCGCGGTTTGCGCGTGTGTGCGTTTAGAAAAATTTTATAATTTTTTTGCGAGTTTCCTTTTTTTGACCGGTTAATTTTTATTTTGATAGCCGGTTATTTTCTTTCGTCCGTAAAGCAATAATAGTTAAGGTTCGTAATGCAATAATATTCTAACTCGTAGTCGTATTGTACATTAATAATTAGAATCGCGTAGTGTCGTTTACTGTAAAGTCGCTAAAACTCAGAGTTCGGTAAAACGGGTAAAGTAATTTAATGTAAATAGTCGATATTATATAGGCGATTCCGTTCTTGTAAGAGATAGGTTTGGTTGATCCGGTTTTTTTTTTTCGATACGGACCAAAAAACCGGTAAACGGCGAAAACAAAAGAATAAACCGGTAAAATCGAAAAATGGTGTCCAATACCACGGTGCTCACCAGGACTACCATGACCACACTCTTGAATGGCACATTAGGGCTGAACTCAACGTACTTGGTCCCCACGTATATGAGCCCTGAAGAGTTTTTGGCGCTGCAGATGACAAACACCTCAGACGCTAACACGACCTTGAACGAAACGCAAGTAAACGTTGTCTTGAAGACGTGGTATCCAAGTGGCTATTCGCCGGCGCACATCATCATAGCCTCAGTCGTAGTAACAGTGTTAATGATAATGGTAGTCGTTGGCAATATGCTTGTTATAATTGCTATTGTAACAGAGAAAGCATTGAAAAACATCCAGAACTGGTTTATCGCGTCGTTAGCGGTATCGGACTTCTTTCTCGGGCTGGTGATAATGCCGTTTTCGTTGGCGAACGAACTGATGGGATACTGGATTTTCGGGTTCTGGTGGTGCGAGATACATTCGGCAATGGACGTGTTGCTTTGCACCGCGTCAATCATGAACCTGTGCCTCATTTCGTTGGATCGCTACTGGAGTATAACTCAGGTGAGTGTGAGAGATTTCTTTTAATTCTTTTATGTAGTTCAGACGATAGTTTGTTGAAGTGTAAAAAGGGTAATCTATACTAATATATAAATCTATAGTGGTTTTTGCGGATGTTCCGTTATAACTACTGAACCATGCATCCGATTGACTTGTAACTTGGTATCCATGTAGAAAATGCATGTACTTAATGGATAGGCTAATATTTATATGTGTGTTGGACTCTCTATACCAGTTACGGAGGCGTTAATGATGAGAATCTTTGTTGTGAGTAATAATAATGTTAATTTTAAATGCCCAACGAAGCGGACGGGTACAGCTAGTCTCGGAAACACTAAAATTTTTTTCGGCAAATGAGGGGAATTTTTTAATTTATTTTACATAAATATTATGTACAATGACGGAAAATCATAATATTTTTTCGTTTAAGCGACTTTTTTTTTTCAAAAATGAAATCAAATCTGAAATTAACTTTATTAGGTACTTTGTATAATCATTAACAAATGTTAGAAAAACAATTTTTTTTAAAATAATTATGCGTTATTGCTGTTGGTTATGTTTTATCACGCTGATCGCTTTGGGCCCTCGTGATCTCTTCGAATTCTACAACAATGTCTGTGTCAATGTCTACAACGTAAAATAAGCGACACTCTATATTTCAAAATTGGATTCATCATTTTCATCTCCATTAGAACTTGGCTATTAAATCATTGGAAAGTCCTCTGCTGCCCGACATAGCCTTATATCCTGTCAGTTAATTGGTGCATGTCGTACGCACACAGGATTTTAGCCTGTAAAACCTGCGTAATACGGTATAGAATCAATTAAAATTAACACTGGCCCGCTGTAATGAAAACTGGTATTGCTGTTTTGTTCACTTTTGTGTTTAATGTGTGCGATATCAGTCATTTTGCTGTCGATCTGTTTGTAAAAGTGGTTGAATTCACTTCAAGTGCATTTTTAACCGGTTTAAAAAGAGGAGGGATGCTATCTCGGTGTACCCATTTTGTTTTGTTTTTTTGCTTAGATGGGTGGACGAACTCACAGCCCACCTGGTCTTAAGTGGTTACTGGAGCCCATAGACATCTACAACGTAAATGCGCCACCCACCTTGAGATATAAGTTCTAAGGTCTCAAGTATAGTTACAACGGCTGTCCCACCTTTCAAACTGAAACGCATTACTTACTGCAGAAATAGGCGGGGTGGTGGTACCTACCCGTGCGGACTCACAAGAGGTCCTACCATCAGTAAAAATGTATGTTTCTACTCTTACTAGTCTACTAATATAGAGGTAAGAACGCATCAATTTACCCTGATGTAAGACGCTTCAAATCTGAAAGCTATTATACCCATTTTTATTTACGAGGTCTTCCTTAAGATCTTTTTAACATGGAAGGTAAGTCCTTTCAAATCGGCGCAACCCGTATTAGTGACAAACAAACAAATAATACAATAGATAATCAAGTAAGCTGATCAGAAACCGTGTGAGACTATTGTTGGAGTGATCGTCTGGGTTTCATATGAAAATACGAAGATTTGCAAGGCTAGTTTTTATTCAAACGGCGATACACATTTTGTGTCAGTGGTCATTGACTAAGCAAGAAGAAAAAAGGGACGACATAGGACTATGGGGACTGCAGATCGTTGAGTCTCACATACCCCGCGCAAAAAGGGCGGGTCCTACGACCTCGTAGGAGGTTCGGCCCTTTACCCGAAAAAAAAAAATGTCTATGGGGACGACCACTACAATTTTATTGACATTGACACATATTAGGCGAGTGATAGCTGTCAGTTGGTTTGATATAAAGATGCATTCAGGAATTAACTATATAATTCTAACAACTATACAACTATACCTTTAAACCGACATATTGTTACAAAACTGATTTTAGAGCCGCCGCAGATTGGATAACCAATTCTAAAATCGGTTTACCGGCTTATTAAAGAACCGGATACCGGTTCGGTGAAGCCATAATAGGGACGGCCGGAAAGCGAGTGTTCATGTTTGTTTTTGCTTTGAAGACGTCGGCATGTCAAATGTTCGTATTATACGTATCAATTCCGATTTCCAGGAAATATAAGTTTTTTCTTTATTTCTTAGATGGATGGACGAGTTCACAGCCCACCTGGTGTTAAGTGGTTACTGGAGCCCAAAGACATCTACAACGTAAATGCGCCACCGACTTTGAGATATAAGTTCTAAGATCCCAGTATAGTTACAATGGCTGTCCCACCTTTCAAACCGAAACGCATTACTGCTTCACGGCAAAAATAGGCGGGGTGGTGGTACCTACCCGTGCGGACTCACAAGAGGTCCTACCATCAGTAAAGTGCACATAAACTATCACAGAAATCGAAAATTAAACACACACCAAGTAAACAGCCAAAGATCTCCGAAGAACCTTTTTCCCTCTGTTTGTCAACCGGTTTATTTTCTTGTTTGTTTAGAGTTATTTACAAGTTTTACTGTTATCGATAACAAGAATTCGGAAACAATTATTTTTTCTAACGTTGACAAAGACCGTTCAGAAACAATAATATCATAGAAAATGCTATATCAGCAATGCCAGGGGTGCGGCCAAGCCAATATCTGTTAGCTATTTATTTATAACTGTTTATATTATATACTAGGGGCCCGCTCCGGCTCCGCTCGGGTCTTTAACAAAAATTTCAACGATATTTGATGTTTTTTTTATTTTTTAAATAAAAGAACACTTATTGCGGCATAACTATAATAGTTAAACATATGCTGTCGCGACACTTTTTGTATATAAAAATGTGTTCTACAAAGTCTAATTCTATCATCAATAGTTTTCGCAGGGCACGCGATGTAAAGAATATTTTAGATAATTTTTTACACCTTTGGTTACATTATTGAAGTTTTAGCAAGGATCCCTAATTTTTTTCAAAAAAGATTATAGCCTATGTCACTCGGGAATAGTGTAGCTTCGAAACAGTGAAATAATTTTTCAAATCGGTTCAGTAGTATCGCAGCCTATTCAATACAAACAAACAAATCTTTCCTCTTTATAATATTAGTATAGATATACTGTGTATACAAGCTATGAATACTAAAAACGTATAGACTAAACCTTATTTAAGATCTACGTAATAATAAATTAGCGAAATTTAATTTTCTCTGCCAGCTTTTAATTCAACTATGTGCTCCAGCTTTATCTTGATTTGGCTCCGGTGTGTGACTGCAATGTGTAATAACCCTTAAAATTCGATTAGTAAATGTGTTATTTAATTTAAAAGAGCTTTTATAAGAACGAAGTTAATTGATAAAAGATAAGCATTGTTTTTTTTAAATTAATCTTCTTCGGGCCAGATGTGGGCTTAGGATTTTGAAAAACGTTTTCATAGCTTTACCTATTATACATCTATGAATATATTTGTCTAAAACTTACACCGATGATAAGGCAATAATTTTATTACTTCAAACGATGATCAAATGCTTGCGAAATTTTCACTTTATACTATCCAGAAAATATAGATGGCTTGAGGTTTTGGACGTGACAACGTCTTATAATTCGATGGAGCCGGCTGCACGCACGAAAAAACAGACTCATGCAGCGTTATCTCGCTCTGAGGCGTTCCATTTAAGGCTTGAAGTGCAAGCGAGAGCGCGCAACGAGCGACAAAGAGGCACAATCGGCCTCCGCGTTCGGCAGCGTTCGACATCTGTCTCTCTCCTACTTGAGTGTGCGATGCATCCGCGTGGACAGCTGCTATACAATAATACATTTATATGTTTTCGTCAAGTATGAAGTTCAGTGAAAAGTGAATGTGGTGTCAATTGTTTATAGCAACGATAATTGCGATAATTGAAAAATGAAACCATTCCATCAGTATTATCTTATGACGTTTTCACGTTCAACTATCGTCAGTAAACCGACTTTACAGACAACCGATTGTTTTTTATATTTCATTAATGTTCTCTTAGCTCGTGTTCTCCGTAGCCACTCAAGCGAACTTCAAAGACCGGTTTAGTTTTCACGCGTAGCATACAATGCGTATGTAGTTTACCGACTTCCGTCTCCGCATTAAGACGAAGATGTTTGTCCGAATACGGTATTAGCGACGTTTCAGTCGGTGAGAAACATTCACGGAATAACAAATGAAAATCTTGACGCAGTACGAGATTGCGGGTAACGTTAGCAATGGTTAAATTTTGGCTTTTGTTTTTGGTGTCAGGCGAAAATCTTCTACCGTGCTACGGGTGTAGGAAACAGATAATTTTTATAACAAAATCATTGACGTTGACTAAAATTGGCTCGTTAATGAGTTGGCCAGAAGTCTGAGATGTTCATCAAAATGCGCTTTACAGATTATTAGTGTGTGAATAAATAAAATATTAATCATTATCATTAACAGCCCAAAGTTGTCCACTGTTGGACATAGGCCTCTCCCGATTGACTTTACTGAGCCCGATCTTTGGCTCACCTCATATAGTTCTACAAAATATAGGTAACCACGGTAGATACTTTCCTACAAAGTCCCGCGTTGTGTGACCCTGTGTCATATGAGACTAGAAGCCAGTACAAAAAGGAGAGTAATTAAGCTATTGCATAGCTTTTGTCGCGGGCTTTGAGCGCGGCGACCGAATCAAGAAATTCCGTAACGAAAATAAAACATAACACCCCCACTCCGTCTACCATGTAGCTCACGCTCAACACATTCACACGTTGCGCTTGTGTAGTGTTTCTGAATAAGCGCGCGGCGTGACATCGCATCATGAAAACTCTGCCTATCTCTCTTTCGCGCGGTCTAGCTTATGAGTGGGAAGGGGGCAGTTAATGTTTTGCTTTTGTTAATGTTTATAAATATAGCGCGGTCGTATTTTTTATTTTCGTTTTAATATTAAATTATTATTGTCTAATTATAATTGCATAAGCTGATAAAAAATGCTTTACCGCGGCAGTCCCCGAGTGCCACACGTGTTTTTTTTTCTGAATTTAGCATCACAACTACGCCTGTATGATTTTTTTTACCTATTATA